TGACCAACCCAAATGCACTGCTGTGCAGGTTTGTGTACAATTACAAAAGAGCTCAAACGGTGACATTTCTTTGAAGAACAAAGCTTATGAACCCTACGATTTTTTTTAATAAGAAATCTGGAAATCACCAAAAAGGTCTTTGGCTCATGGAGCTCTGTCTTCAAATTGAAGAAGGGATCAAGACAGCAGGCCTTCACACATTCTTGTTCAAGCTGTTTCCATTTGAAAAACTTTAAATAAATTACCCCTTTTAGCAATGCCCTTCCTCAATAAATACTCTGAAATCTTCTCTTCATGATCTATCACTCTATCATAGTCTGTAAGCAGATGCTATAGAGTTGCTAAAATTCGTAAAAAGGAAACCACTACTACACAAAATGTCTGGCCAACACCGAGGGTGAGGGCTTCAAAAGGGATCATTTCTTTGCCTGCAGCTCGGTACACTCCAGCGATGGCTGCACCTGTTTAAAAATGCAAGACGGGGGCGAAAAGGTTAATGCAAGATGGAGAGAACAGGATCTGAGATTCCACTATAATTATAATTCAGATTTTAATTTTTTTTGCATATGAAAGAGTAAATTTTGTAAAGATGGCCTTTCTTCCCTATTCCTTCCCCTATCTGGTCAGCAAGGTTTTGACTATTATGCACATGGTTTACAAATCACTAACTTTTGTATAAGATTTTTAGAAGCAGCTTCTTGAAACTAGATTTTGCTGTGATTTAGTCAATCTTTCTGGAAGGAACCAACAAAGTCCTGTCCATGGCCTCCAGCCAGAGGTACAGGAATGACCTCTGCTTGGCTTAGCAAGTATTTCTAGGCCTCCTGGGCAGAAGCCTAGAAAATTTTATTGAAGACAGGATGGTTTCTCTCCTCCCCACTTTTATTTTTCCATTAATCCTTGCAACATCCTGAAGAATGCAAGATAATCTCCACTCACATGGAGCTGCTGCAGACAAACAGGTTTCAGGCTTCCTTGATTTATGCAGTTTTCTTTTCATTAACCATCTCCTGTTAAAGGGAGATGGATCCAAGATTCTTCCTAATTCCCATTAAACACCAAAACAGGATTCAGGGCTCACAGAGCTAGGATTGCCCTGGCCCCAGGTTGTTTATTCGTAAAATAGCTATGATTATCTACTACGTGCAAAGCACTCTACAAATATAAATCATGGCTTCTGCTCACAACTTATAATCTAGCTAAAATAATGGCACAAACTCACATGAAACCATTCAATTATATGATTAAGTGTTAAGATGAATAGTATAGTCAATAACTATTATAAAAAAGCAGAAGACAGAAGTTCAATATGGGCTTAGTGATGAAAGGAAGTTTGTAAGTACTTGGGAGATGCTATATAGGAGAATCATATATCAAGAAAGGTGTTAGGCCAGACGACCTTTGGGGTGCCTTCCAATCCAAAGACCTTAAGTTTCCCTATGAGGTTAGAAAAATAAGTTGGAAACAGATTCAAGCCTCTGGAATCCCTAACTGGGGATCTTTGTTCCCTAGGCAATAGAGAATCAAACATTCATGATATGGAGGGGAGGAGACCAACCAGCTTAGGCCCCTTTGACATAACATGAGTCTTCAGGGGCCTGGCATAGGCATAACTACCACAAGAAATTCATTCATTGTTTGGAGATTCATAAAAGAAAAGGACACCCCACTGACCATGGCTAGGTTGTTTCTGGTGAAGGAGGGAAAAGACTGGCCAAGGCCTTATGTTGCTTGGGAAGTTAAATTTGTGCCATAGGTCCATAAATTCAATTTATTATCAGTCCTGTGTCAGGAGCCCTGGATCACAGATTTAGAACTGGAAGGCACCTGAGAAGTCAAGCAGTCTGAGTCCTCATTAAAAGATGAGACAGCTGCAGCCCAGAGGGGTCCCAGGCCCCAGCGCCAACGCCTCCATGTCAGAAACAGAATTCCACCCAAGTCTGCCCAGCTCCCAATCCAGCATTCTCATCACCGTGGCAGTCCTACTGACTCACAAATCCAGGGTACTTACCATTTCAATAGGCTCTCACATACATTATCTCATCTGATCCTCACAGAAATACTGTGAGAGGCAAATCAATACAGCTATTTTAAAGATAAGGATACTGATGCTTTGACATGTTAAGTAGCCTGCCCAAGGTCATACAGCTACGAAAGGATAGAGATGAGACTTGGATCAGTGTCTTCTGGCACATAAGCCCAGAATCCTTCCATTTCAACAGGCTGCCTTTTAAAAGGAATATTCACAAATAACAAGTAAATTTAAAAGATGAATATCCCTAACGAAACTCTATTTCCTAAGAAACTCCTATAAATACAAAACCAAAAACACCCAACAATGCCAGAAACAAAAATCTTTGTGCGAATAATTATGTGAAGAGTTCTTGACTTTGTGATTAGCCTTCCCATCTTAAAATTTCCTTCAGCGGGGGGCAGCTGGGTGGCTCAGTGGATACAGTACCGGCCCTGAAGTCAGGAGGACCTGAGTTCAAATCCTGCCTCAGACCAAACACTTGACACTTACTAGCTGTGTGACCCTGGGCAAGTCACTTAACCTCAATTGCCTAAAAAAAAAAGAATGTGAAAAAAAAATTCCTTCAGCAACAGGACAACTTGTAGAAGTAATCAATTACTGTGCAATGCACAGAGTAGAGAATTAGTGGCACAGTGGACAGGGCCCTGGGCCTGGAGTCAGGAAGGTTTGTGTTTAAATCCAATCCCAGGCACTTCACTAGTTATGTGTCTCTAGGCAAGTCACTTAACCTCTGCCTCATTTTCTTCAACTGTAAAATGGGGATAACAGTGCCTACCTCCTAGGGTTATTGTGAGGATCAAAAGAGATAATAATTGTAAAAAGCATTTAGCCCTGGGCTTTGGACATAGCAGGCACGATATAAATGCTTATGCCCTTCCCCAATGCCAGTAGGCAAGTAATACAGAAACAGTAGCTAACTGTAGTAGAAAGAAGTGATGACTTCCATTAAAATATTATTTTCCTTTCCAAAAGGCTTTAATTCACAAGTTGGGAGGTGGGAGTGTGTGTGTGTTGGGCGGGGAACTTTCAGAAAAAGTCCTCTGCAGTGCAAAGACAAAATCTAAGCCAGGTAACAGGAAGTAAGAGGTCAAATCAGGGAATCTCTTTAAATTTTATTCTTATTTGTTAGTCCCACTCAAGCAAGTTTCTAAAATGATCCTTAAAGTTAGTTGATTAGACATATAAAACTTGTTCAACTAATATTTTTTAATGTCTAACATACTTGTCAAGATTCCAGCAGTAATTGGTCCCACGATGCCCATCAACAGGATGCTTACAGACATGAACCTACCATATTTGTGATGCCTGAGGGTGAACAGGGCCAATAATCCAGCAGGGACATGGAAGGAGAGAGAAGACACCAGTGCCCACAGGAACACACCATACCACATTTCTAGACAGGAAAATGAAAAGTCTGAAGTTGAGTTTCTCACTATGATAATTGGAAAAAATAGTCTTATAAAACCCCCAAACCAAATTTGAAAACCATTTAAATGCAGCAGTGTTTGCACACATCAACCATTTATATAAAAGTATTGCTAGTACCATACCAATCAAACTACCAAAAAATTATTTTATAGAGCTAGAAAAAACAACAAAATTCATCTGGAAGAACAAAAGGTCCAGAAATGTTAAGGGAATGAATGAAAAGAAATGCAAAGTAAGGTGGTCTAGCCATACCAGATCTTAAATTGTATTATAAAGTAGCAATCATCAAAACTACTTGG